TAAAAGTGGATGGAGTAGTGATGAAATACGTTCTTTGCTAAACCCTTGAGTCACTAGCATCTTAATAATATCGAGTTTTTTTTTTTTGAGGTCTTAATCATTCAGATCTATTCAAAGTCATTAAGTGGTTATAAACGAAAAAACACGCTTAATGATTGAGTTTTAAATGATTAAGATTTAGACCTAAAATTTAGACCTAAAAAATGAGGCCCAAGTAATTGAAACATAGTAATATTCTTTTTCCTCAATATTATCTTTTCTTTTCCTGATGGAAAATCCTTTTAACTTGTTGCGTGTCCTATAACCAAATATTTTTACTAGAGTTGGGTATCTTGTTGCAGTAATTAAGCCCATTGAAACATTATTGCATTAAGTGAATATGTCATATTGGGCTCCAGCAAATTAGGACCAGTATTTGGTAGAAACTAACATAATATTTGAATATAGTTACATTTTAAGAGCATTTCTTTTATTGTTTATCTTTAGATGAATTTGAGGTTGTCATGTTATTGGAAGTTATTGACACCGTAACACTGTAATATTAGCAAATTTGGCTAAAGCTGGGATCTTCTGTCAGAATCTATGTTCAAAGGCTTTTTAAAGTTCTTTTAGATGAGGTAACAAAATCAAAATATATAAAAATCATTAACACTAAGTGTTGGAAACCAAATGAAGTGTTTACAACAGTGGATTGAAATCACAAGTATAAATGAAGGCTTTTGTTGCTTGTGTCAATTCTTTTACGGAAAGAGGTTGCTTTCTAAGCAAACATGACTCCTATGGAGTAAAACAATTGTGTCTTATAGCAGTCGTGAGTCTCGTCTTTAATGAGATATTCCTTTATCGTGGTTATAGCCATCTTGAAGAGGCATGAACCCAGCAGAAAGGTAAACTACATGAGAAGATATGATGAGGATCACAGAGTTGAAGGATCTTCTTCTACAACCAATGAACTTCTGCACCTCTTGAGACAACAAGGGCCAGTTCGTCAGCTCCATTCCGGTTTGAACATGGGTAATTTCATATATTTCGCTTCTAACATTTTCTCTTCCTTTGCATCATGTCATTAGACATAATTTGTTGGCCTAGCTTTCTATTAAAATGTTCTGCTAGTTGTAATGTGCTTTATATTTTTATTAAGCTAAAGGTTAGTGTAATGTACTTGTTCATGTACTTTTGTACCTCCTAAACTTATTGCTGTTGATATTAAGGGAATAGAAAGCTACTTTGAATACAATGGTGTGTTAGGGTAAAAGAAAAGGTCTAAAAAGCATGAGAATCTGCAATATGTCATCTGCAAGGGACCATGCTACAGCTTAGTGCCGAACGATCTCATGAACAAGGAATTTTATTCCTAAGTAGAACCCCTAGGCTGGAAGATGTGTCCATCCAATATTATGTTGGACATGAAGTTTATTATGCTTTTATCCCCTCTCTTATTTATTCGTCAGAGATTGCTTTAGTGATGTCGGTTAATATGTCCTTCAGTAGTTAAAGGTATTTTGGTGAAGAGGGTCAAATGCTTCTTTAGTTACTCTAGCAGTGAGAAGCTACCAATTAAAGCGAATTTCCTTGAAGGGAAAAACTCTAAAATGAGGCCCTTTTTATTAAGGGGTTATTCGGGCCGGTTTGCGTGTACCTACGCTAGTATTCTATCTTATGCTTGCTACCTTCTGCCAACACAGGTACTGGGTAACTTTGTCCACCAACACTTGCTATATGGAAAGAGATCTCCCAGCATTTTCTATTGGTGCTTGGATTTGAGTTTTGATCTCCCATGGTTTTTCCTACTTCATTGGCCCATTGGGTCCTAAAAAATGGACTTTAGAACCTCAGTTTTCTTTTAAAACAAAAGAAAGAAAGCAGGAGCTTGAAAGTAACGATTAGTGCCTAGCAGTGTTATCAAAAGCAAAAAGCGCAAAGAAGTTCTAAGGTCTGTTGGGTTGTGGGCTTTAGTGAAAAAGGCGCAAAGGGAGAAAAAAATATAAATATATATGTTTAGTTCAAGAATAATATTACCCAGTTGGAGTTGGGAGTCACCAAGGGAACAAAATATGAAAGAACCATGGTGCAACCGTGGGTATGGGAGTTTGGGGGTTCTGTAACCTGGTAAGGAAAAAGAGATAAGAGGAGTATTTACCTTTTATAGTTCTTATGCTTTCTACTTTGTTGTATATGTTTTATGTTTTTAATGGTTATTCATTGCCAGAGCTCTGCACTTCGGATCCACCCCACCCCACCCTTCTTTTTCTTTCTTCCTGTTGTATATAATTGATATCTGTTTTCTATTATTCTTGTCCGAGATCAGGTATTAACCATCAGTACTCGTTATCTGGAAGCAAGCGACCGTTTTCAGCTGTAGTAAGTTGCGAATTTGGTTGCCTTTATGCTGCTTTTATATCCTTATGGCTCTTTCACTTCTTATGTAGACATATACTTATCTCTGAGGCACCCTCCTTCTGCCTCTGCAGGTACATAATCCACATCGTATGGATTCCAGTGGAGTTTCTAGAGTGCACTTAGAAAGCTCTTTCCCTACTGCAAACCGAAGGTTCATACCATTGTCTGTCATTGTGAATGGACGTCTTCTGCTATCATATAAAGTAGAATAACGTCTTGCCGATACTTTACCTCAGTAATATTGACTCTGTACTTTTTTTCATTTAGTATGTTGCCACATAGTCGTGGACCTCTGGGTACACCATCTTTTGCCTATTATGGCCAGCTTGGCAGTGACCATTCACCAGGTGAGTTCAACATGCAACTAGATGGTTTTTGAGATCATTTTCGACTCAATAGTTTATGCCTTATTGAGTATGTCTATTTTGGTTAAGTTGTCTACTTTTTGGGTCTTATCAGGTTCAGTTTATGGGGTCCAAAGCTTTCCGAATTCTTTTCAGGTACAGAATATTGAATGATCTGTGATCATTGTTACGATTCACCATTTATCATGGCAAACATTTTGTTGTTCATTGGGAACCCCAGTTATATTACATCTGCCACTCTTGTCATGCTCTAATTTTGTGCTATTGTTGTATGTTCTGTGCTTTTGAGTTTAATGGCCTGAGAACTGGGCGTGTTCTATTTAGATAATTCATTGCTTGATATTGCAAGTGGATAGTAGTTTATCTCCCTGTTCCCGAATCAGATGTTCTGTAGAATACATTTGCAATTGTTGGTGAGATGCAACTTCTTTATATGAAAGTACTAACTGCGGGCCATATCCAAGTCCTCCGGAAAATAAATTGGAGGGGAAAAAATGTTTCCAGTATGGCATGCAATAGCTTTCCTTGGGAAAAATGGCATGTAAACAGACTAACACTATAATCTTTTAACTTCATTCGATGTAACCAATTCTCAAAAAAATAAAAATAAAATTTCATTCTGCTCAATGACCTAGGATTTTCATAATGTTATCTGGTTAAGAAATGGAAAGCTTGTTCCTAAATAGCATTATGTTTTTAATTTTTTTCTCATATTCTTGATTAGCATGTTTACTTTTGCATAGTTACTTCAAGTGGTTTATACAACCTGATTATTCACCTGCAAGAAGTTCTTAAGCTCAGGAAACTAACTCCTCAGGGAAATACATCTTGATGATACCTATTTTGTAAAGGATGATAAGCTCTAGCTATTTAGCTTTGTTGCTCAACTAGAATTTCTTAAATGTATTTGATAAAGTACCATATATACATTATTATTAATTTATTTTAATCAGACCCTCAGCCTAATTTTTTCTCCTTTCTGAGTTGTATTTATAGACAATTATCCTTTTTTTTTTGAACATTAAATGAAGATTGAGATGCTAGAGACTGACGTTTCTGTGTTTTAGATCGGCACATGGTTTCTGATCGTGGTTTTTGTTTGTCTTGCAGTCTCATGACCACGACCCTTATGGTGGAAATCGTAGCATATATCGTAGATGTGAGTAAACTTCTTTTAGCATCTTATTTGGCTTTTGAACTGTTTCTTTGAGCAGTCTCAGCCAATTCAGTAATCAGTATATTATGTTTGCTTCATTTTTTGAAACCAGTCCTGCCTGTCCTCGCTATAAAGTTAGCAGATGAGGTGTTCCTAATGCCCAGATATGTATATGGAACCTGACTAATGCAATCATAAGTTAAGGGTCGTCTCAAATGTTGGTTTCTTTTCCTGCATGTGTTCCTTCATTTGCTTTTTCTGTTAGTTTGGGTGGGTAGGTGGGTGGTCACAAGAGAGTGCTCAATGAAATATTTCCTTCAATCTGATCTAAACCAACAAAGCCACATGGGGATGCTCTATAGGACTCTTGATTCGCCATTTGTCAAAATTCTTGTTGTAGTGTTTTCTTTAAAGTTGGGAGAGCACCATTCGAATGTGGTGTGTCAGCAGTTTATTGCAGATGAAGGCTCAAATTGCTATGGTGATCTTGGGTTTGCGTGAACTTTCTATCAAGTTCACATTATCATACCGTCTTTGGATCTTGTAGAAACTAGATTCACGTTTGTCATGCATCTTATTGTTTTTGGTTGAGTTTCTTGTTAGTATAGTAGTTCTATCTTAAACACATGGTCTCCAATGTCTTGGAATTCCTCTTTAAGGTAGGTAAATTTATTATACGTCTAAGCACTGTTTCAACTTTAAATTTCTGCTGAATGTTATATGTAGTAAGTTGGCAGAAGAAATGAAATATAGTCAAAAGCTGCCACAAGTATCTGCTAATGATGTGCTGATCTAATCCACTGTTGATCTTAGTTAACTTTCATTCGACGTGATCTTTATCGTCATTCTTCGTTGGTTTCTACAGATTGAAGGAGTGATTTGGGAATCCCACTGAACTGATGTTTCTAGCAAAGGATTGACTGTCATACTGACCTGTTATTTTGATTCTGTCAAGTTATTTGTAAAGTTCATAGGAATGTTCAGTTGAGTTGACTCATGCTCAAGGGGTTTTGTAACTTCATCTTTACATATTTGGGTGACCACCCCAGGACCCAGGTCCTTTCTGTATACCCTGCAAATTTTGGCTTTTCGCCTCCTGTTAAATATAATCAACAATCTATTCTCATGAATTTTCAAGAACTATTTTTATCATGGCAAAAGTTTTAATTCTTTCGTTTTGACAAGTTCAGAAATAGTTGAGAGCATCAACTCAACTAGTGAACAGAATCTTGCTGGTCTGGTATTTCTTTGAGTAGATTCATTAAAAAATTAAAATGAGGTATAATTTTACAATGAAAATTATGGTTAGAATTGTTTAAACAAGACAGCTTTGACCAACTTGGTATTACGGTGTATTCGATCAAGTTAAACACTTGAAAATATTCTTGGCTGAATCCATCGGTTGCCCCCTAAAATTGGCATCAATTTTCACTTAGACTCATTAACTAAGCTTTGTACATTTTAGCCACTAAATATCGTACTGAATTGTGTCATTTTAGCATTTTTTAAACAATCAGTTAAATATATAAGGTATGTGTAACACACTCGCCTGATGTGTTAAATTGACAAATTAAATAAACACACTTGGCGAATATATTAAACATATTCTTTATATAATGATATTTTAGTAGAATGAAGGAGTCAATGACTCAATGACATGTGAAATTTTTTACACAAAATTAAAAAAAAAAAACCAACCCCACCAAGGTCGTCTTTTCTGCCCCACCCACCCAGATCGTCTTCTTCACTATTCCCCACCCACTTAACGTCTTCTACAACTTTGCCCACCCTAACCCAACCCCATCCACACCCTCATAGTCTTGTACATCCCTCTCCCACCCAGTGTTGTGAATGGCGAGCGCCTCATTGCCTTTGGCGAGAGGCGAGGCGAGGCCTCCTCGCCATTCCCCACTGAGGCGATGCGGTATGCAAAAGGCGGCTCATGGCGACCTAATGGCGCTAGAAAAGGCGTCGCCTTTTTTATTTTTTAAAAATTTGACTTAACAATATTAATTAAAATTAGGGCCTTTTTTTATATTTTCAAAATCTGCTGCTGCGCACTCTTCTCCCCGACTCTCTTCCCATCGCGACTCTCTTCCCCTATATCTTCTCCTGGTCTCCATCATCTTCAAGTTGCTATTGCTGAAGACCTGAGGTATACCTATTTTTTTCTGTTCTTCTTCTTCAATTTTCTTTTCAGACTTTCAATTCTGTTTTCTTCAAGTTTTCTTCACTACTCTTTTTTCTCTCTATTTTCTTCACTCTCTGTTTTGTACCAGATTACTATAAAATGCCTTCTGTTTTCACTGTGCTGTGAGTCTATGACTGTTGTCCATTATTATTTTGAAAAAAATAATAATTTTTTTAAAGTAATTATTATAGTATTTGTAAGATATGTAAGTGCTATTGAAATTTTGAATATTATATGTGCAATTAAATATTTTTAATTTGGTATTAATTGGCGCCTCGATTCAAAAAGGCGAGCGCCTCGCCGCGTGGTGAGGCAGACCCTCGTCGCCTCTCACCGTCCAAAACACTGCTCCCACCCACCCATGGTCTTTTTCAAGTTTTTTTGCTGCCCTTTTTCTTTGTGACAACATGAAGCGTGGCTTTTCTAATGGATTGAAATTTATTTTTTGTGAAATCTCTTCGTGTTGATTTTTTTTCTTTGTCTGTAGCATCATCAAAACGTTTCTCCATGGAAGGAGCTCAAGTTTTGAGAGATGTAGCTGAGAAATGAGGAAGCAAATAAAAAAACTAAAATAAAAAAGGTTAAATGAGCCTTTCGCGGGCTGGTATTGAGTATATTACACTTACTATGCCATGTCAGTAAAAAGTGTCAAAATGACACAATGAGACATGACATGAGATGTCTAAAATGAACAAAGTTTAGTTAAGATGCCTAAGTGAAAATTAGTACCAACTTTAAGAGGCCAGATTCTTTCATTGAAAAATATGATGTATCATATATCCAGTCTGGAGACATTATTTGAAGGTGTAGTTTGGTTGAGCAATTAGCTACAAATAGGCTTGATCTTTTTTTTTTTAACTTTAAACTATTAAAAACACAGAGTGCCAGTGAGAAATGTTGATTTATTTTTCTAATATTTAGTATTTTAAAATCAATGAAAAGTTTAGGTACTTTTTTTGTTTGTTTGAAGTATTTATGAAGTCTAAATGTTTAGATTTACAAAACTAGAACTAGGACAACGTTTGAATCATCTTTAGCCAGATTGCAATCATTTCATCTATTTTATAAAGCACAACTTATGAATTGTTTATTCATTAAGTATAACAATCATTCATGAATACTTCTGAAAGGACAATGCTTCAAAAGCAAGTAACAGATAAAATTTGCAATGGATGAGAGTTTATGAATTCTAACTGTCATGATTTGTTTGCATTGCATGGGATCATCCACCAAATATCATATCCACATACTTCACAACAAAATGGAGTTGTAGAAAGGAAGCCTACGCGCTAGTTAGAGACGACAAGATGTATCAAATTTCAAGGGCAGTTACTAAATAGATTTTGGGGTGAATGCATAGAAGCTGCAATATGTATCATAAATAGAGTACCTCTCACAATCTTGGAAGCAAAACACTATCTCAAGGAGCTCATAGGCTGAATACAGGAGCTTGGCATCAATAGTAGCAGAAGTTGCGTGGTTAGTTGGACTCTTCAAAGAACTAGGAGTGCAGGTGAAGATGCATGTGCCTACTTACACTGACAGCAAATTAGCAATACAGATTGCTGTCAACCCAGTCTTCCATGAGCGTACAAAGCACATAGACATCGATTACCATTTCATCAGAGAAAAGGTTCAACTAGGATTAGTTTAACCTACGTATTTGGAAACAACACAGCAACCTGCAGACTTACTCACCAAAGAATTCACTTGTGTGCAACATGCGTATCGGCTTGCCAAGCTAGGAATGAAGAATGTTTTTCGTACACCTAGCTTGAGGGAGGATGTTGAGCAGCTAGTAAAATGCACAGCTATAAGTTAGCTCTGACAAGTTAATTAAATTAACAAATTTAGTTAGTTAGAATTTGTTAGTGTGTTAGCTTGATGAACTGATTGTATATATAAATGACATAGTCATAGGATGAAGAGAGTTATAAAAAGAGTTCCCTTGTAAAGCTTTCAATGTTCAATGAAGAAGAGAGTTTCTCTCTATTGTTAAGCAAGCTGTACTTCTACTCATTACTGCAGTAACTCGATTCTCTGATCTTAACAAATTATACTCCAATTTGATCCATCTTTTCTCTATCAGGATTTTCTACTGCTAGTATCTTTACCATTGCCAAGTGTAACTGGAAAAGAAAGGCCAACATGTCGCAGCGGTACATCTTGTAGTTACTCCCCCCCCCCACCCCCCCATCTCCCTAGCCCCTTTCATGTTCTGAGGAAAGTGAATTAACCTGATGAACTAAAAGGAGTAGGTGTATGAAATTGTGATACCAGTAAGGTATGCATTTTGGTGGTGAACAATTTGGTTTGCAGCTTATTGCTGTTTCCTCGACTGCTAGACCTAAAGGAAAAATAATAATCAGAAATGACAATATGTGATCCATGTTATGTACTAGGCTTGGGAAGTGTAGGGCATTTGCTCGTTCCCGTTTAGAGCAATCATTCAGTGTTCTGCACTGAAAGGATGTTACTGTGTAATTAGTTGGATACATTCATATATACTTAAACTAGACTTGTGGGATAGTGCATGATCCACAAATCATTAAACCCTTCTATGCCTATTCAATTCTTCTTGGAAAGTACCTCTTGTTTGATCATCTCAGATTTGACAAGTTAAAACATTTTTACAAGGCCAGAATGGTTTGAAACAAATTGGGTTTACACACATGCAGATAATTAAATTGAGATTTAGACCACCAAATTAAACTAAAATAGTTGGTCAATACATGTAAGGCTTGATACTATTGCTATACAAATCCTTTTTGTAGAGGTTTGGGATGAGAACAAATCTGTGTGTCACCTGATTGCACCCAGTAAATTGGCACCATCAAGCTTCGCCCCCTCCAAATGCTGAGAGAAAGAGAGAAATATTTAGTTCCAACTAGAATAAAATAAAATGGCGAGCAGAGAATATTAAGCAACAGAGCTGAATCACACCCTTCAAGCTTTCATCCCTTTCCCTATATACTAGGCAAACATACCAAAACATACCATCATCAGTTAACTACTATGGTTAAATTTGTTACATCAGACATTTCTATATTGAATGCAGTGGTAAAAGGAGATTAGTCCAAGGATCAACAGAAGCATAATTGGATACACAACTCAAATGATAGGACATTGACCAGGGAAACTTCATCTAGGGAAAATAAGACGCTTCATGTGACTTGTAAGACCCTCTTTTTTTTTTTCTAAAAAACTCATATGGGTTGTAAGACATAACAACCTTAGATCCACTAGGAAGATAATTGACTTCCACAAATGCGAATGATGTGATGATGAAAAGGAGGACTTTTCACATATTATTAGGACTAGTAAAAAATGTAGATAAATTTGGGATAGTTTCCACTCCCAAAATGAGATTGATTTCATGAAATGAATGCTATGCTTATGCTTGAATGGATTGATTGATCTCCTACTGTGTTACACTAACATTTTCATCTATTTGGCAAATGGAAAGAAAGAAATAGAAATTTGATTGGAAAAAATAACGTCCATCAACAGATCTTTGCACATAATAGTGATTATGCTTGGGAAATTGTTGAAATATTTCCTTGATGAACTTCTTATCTGAAGTTAAGACTATTACTCACTTGGTCTCCTCCTTGTTTAGAAAAGATTAAACTGAACATTGATGGCAATGTGAAAACCCAAACTGGAGATGCTGCTTTTGGAAGACTGAGATAATCAAGGGAAAAAGATAATGGGATATTCATGTAAGATAAAACCTAACTCAAGCTTCCTTACGGAAATAGGAGTCGAACAAGGGCTACAATTAGCAAAGGCAGTGAGATAAAATAATTAGAAGTGGAAACAGATTGTTTGCTTCTTGTTAAGCTTATCAACGAAGACGGCATTCAGTTTCATCCTCCAAGGCTATTATCGAGGATTGCAGATACCCGGAAGTCGAGAAAGCAAATATTATCAACATCTGGAGGGAGCAAATCAGTGTGCAGACATTTTGGCAAATAAAGATCACAGACATGAATCAGATTCGCTAATATGGGATGATGTGCTCATGGAAATTCATTGCTTAAACTCTAGTATAAAAAAACTCAATGGTGCCTCTCTGGAAGGAATCAGACTTGATCATCCGAGAGCAAGATTTAAGGAATTACTGATCTTGGGCATATTTATATGCCCATACACTACGATTTACCCACATGTGACTTATGTTTCGAGGACATTTTTATGATAATTGTTGTGTTTTAATCAGTTTATCAAAGGCGAAAAGCGCAAAAAACTCTAAGGTCCATGGGGCCTTTAAGCGCAAATAAAGCATGTGCTTTATGAAAAAAGGCGCAAAGGGAGAAAAGAACACAAATATATATGTTTAGTCCAAAAAATAATAATTATAAACATGAATGACAAATATATGACCAAAGTAATTGAAAAAAATTTACGATAAAGTGAAATATTAATTATTTCGTTTCGTTTCACTTCTTCATAAGAGGCTCATTGGCTAGGAAAAGTTTACCTTAGAACCTTGATGACGACACTAAAGAGCACATAAAACGAGGTGAAACACTCAACACATTTTGAGCTCGCTTTAAGGCTTACGAGAGCCTTTGATAACACTGGTTTTGATAAAGTATTCCAATGAATGCGCACTTAACCTACATGATTAGCACATGTAGGGGCTCCTAAAGGAATATGAGCTAAATAAGAGGTGACGGGAGTGAAGGAAAAATGACTGAAGAAAAACACCCCTGGAGCAGCCTAGGTGCACCGCGCCAGGGCCTAAACTACTGAAGCCAACTTTTGCCGTACTGTTCACACACTGCCCCAGCAGTCTCGGCGCTATGGTGGCGAGCTGCCCCACGAACACCCCGAAGAAAATTCTGAAAATTAAGGAGTCCGAATCAATTAGGAGGGATTATTTTCCGCAACTATAAATAGAGCCCTAGGGTTCTTTTGTAGGGGAGCTTCTTCTTTTTCAAGTGCAGAAGGCAAGAAATAGATTTCACTGTAAGGGTTCTTTTTCTTCTTCTGCTTTCTTAGACATTAGTAGCTAAAGACCCTTGTTGTGGGGTTGCGACTACGAGTAATTTTTGAACATCGATTGTTTTGAATTAATGTTGGCTTCACTCAAATTACTTTTGAATTTTGGTTTTAGTATTTCATGCTTGATCACCATAGAAATAAACATATTGTCTATTCTTGGACTCGAGAGATGAAGGGATAGATAGACCAAAGAATACAAAGAGCTCGATCCCTCTTGCATATCACTTGTTTAGATTCATGTTCAAGATTAAAATTGAGATGAACATTGAGCTTAGCTACTAAATAGGATGAAATATAAATGCTCGCCAATTGAGTTTGTCTATCTCCGCTCAAAGATGTAGTTAGAAAGTCAATTGGAGTAGGCGATTAAAGGTCGGGAAGTTATGATCATAAAATCAACCATGTAAATTAGTAATTTTGATAACCATAGTTGATTCATCACATGAGATGTGATACATGAAACCTTAAGCATGTTGCAGCCCTGAAATTTCCCCATACAAAGGTAATCTTAGTATTCAATTCTTGCATTCTTTATTTATAAATCAAACTCTTTTGGCACTCTTGAATAAATAATTAGACTAGTATAATTTAGTAAGATAATTAATAGACAAGTCTTATGGGTTCGATAATCCGGCTCTTTTAGAGCCACTAAATTACTTGTGCGATCACGTACACTAGTGTGTGCAATTGGAAGCAACAATTACCAAGCAAGTTTTGCACATAGTTTGATAGGTATCTCACAAACTTCATAAATGCCATATATTCATAACTAAAATATTCTGCCTTTCAGCCTTTTTAGTTGACGAGACATTAAGTAGTCAAACAACATAATGTACATACTGTTCTGGAGCTAGAGTGATGTTATCAAAGGCGAAAAGCACAAAAAAGCTCTTAAGGTCTGTGGGGACTTTAAGCGCAAAGCGGAAATAAAGCGTGGGCTTTAATGAAAAAAGGCGCAAAGGGAGAAAAAAATACAAATATATATGTTTAGTCCAAGACTAGAAATTATGAACATGAATGACACATTTATGACCAAAGAAATTGAAAAAAAAATTATGATATAATAAAATATTAATTGTTTAGTGTCACTTCTTCATATGAGGCTCATTAGCAGTGAAAAGTTTGTCTTAAAACCTTGATGACGACACTGAAGTGCACATAAAGCGAGGCAAAGCGCTCAACATGTTTTGAGCCTCGCTTCAGGGCTTAAGCGCGCTTAAAGCACGCCTTTGATAACACTGAGCTAGACATTCAAAAATGTTGATGTTAACCTCTCATGCTTCTTTACACATATAATACATAGAAAATACAGTACAATTTAGCAGTCACAATCAGAAATATGCAAGACAGCACAAGAAAACTATTGAGGTTGGGAAAATTATTTAAACACTCCAAGATAGCAACTTGAAGTTGAAATGAATTCGTGGGATAGTAGCCATATGAACGCCCAAAAACTCAATGGTTTGAGTCAGAAAAGGAATTTGAAAGACAGATATACAGGAAAGATGGTTTATAGTGGTAGAGAGTGTCATTTACTTATCTTTAGAAATTTATGATTACTACATCCCAACGGTTGGTGAGGTGAAATGCATTTCCTATATGTAGTTTAAAGTTCAAAGGCGAAGGTTCCATTGGATATCACAGAGATTCCAATATAATTATTATTATTCAAGAGAACTTTGATTCACATTATCAACTTTTTTTCCTTCCAGATGGAAATTCATCGGTGAATTGGATTACAAGAAGATCCAGCAAAAGGCCAGGGAAAAGGTTAATCCTTGTCAGTGAATGAAAATCTGGCTTTATTTCAAGCAATTGTTTTTTCTTTCCTAAAAATTTCCACATATGCTTCACAGAATCAACATAATTGAGGATAGATAAGTAGGCTATTACAAAGCCCAACTGATTGGCAGTGGTAATATGACTTACTGTATCACGAAGATTCACATGCCGAAGATAAGCTCTTTGAAGGTTTGCACCCTTCAGATTTGCATTGGTTAACTTCGCACCCTGGAATAAGTAGTGGAAAATCAATTAAGAGGCATAAAGGAAACTGACTCTTGTTTGGACTCAAAAGGAAATATAATAAGAGTAGCTGACTCATTTCATATGATCTTTAGATGAGTAGGCTATTGTATAGTTCATATTTCGTAGTAGAGAAAATGACCAAAATGGTCCTTGATGTTTACGGATTGAACTATTTTGGTCCTTTATATATACTTATTTTTATTGAAATAATCCTTGATGTATATAAAAAGATGATCATTTTGATTGCCAACCCTAAAACTAACTGTACAAATGAAAATTTCTGTTAAACTTATTTGTGGGTGCCTCGAAATTGACAAGTGGCAGACCCCTTCTACCTCAATCGTCTTTCTTACGCCAATTCTGCTGCAATTTTCAGTTGGTTTATTCTTCTTTTCATTACCAAAATCCTTTTTGACACACAAAAATCTCTTCAATTTTCAAATAACATTGTGAAGATATCGATTTTTAACCTCTGTCCATTCAGTTTTCACCCTTCTATCTGAACAATGATATAGAAAAATACATGAAAAGACTATCATTTTTTTTTTCTTTGATAAAGGTAACGTTTTGTATATCAATCATTAGTTTTAAAAAGGACAAAACAAAAAGAAAGCTATATTCTTCCCATATCTAGCTATAAAAAGAGAGAATAGTTGGTTAAAATTTGAAGAGAGTTGGTTTTGGAGTTTTCCTGGGAAGAGGAATGGAATGTATCATCTGATTTACTTAGGTCACATTTGTTTTAGCAGTCTCACTTTTTGTTATATATATGTATATATGAAAATGGAAGCTGCTGGGGATTATTGTTTAGAGGGAGATAAGAAATGAGTGTAGTGTGTTTTTCTGTTCTTATAAGAATGGCTGGTGGGTGGACTGAAGATGGACCATACCTTTAATGGTGAAAGGAAGAAGATTGCGGGAGAAAGGGTCTGTCAGGTGTCAATTTCAAAGTAACCCACAATTAAATTTAACGGAACTTTTTACTTTTACTGTTTGTTTTAGGGCTAAGGATCAATATGATCAGCTTTCTATATACATCAAGGACTATTTCAATAAGGAGGTATATATAAATGTTACATGTCAATTGATTAGAAATTGAATTAGCCGTTAATTTTGTATTTGAGTCTGTTAAATGGGACACATGACTGACACGTGAGTAGTAATAGTTGTAGAGGAAGTCGGTTACAAGTTGTTATAACTGATTTGTGGACAGCTGTCCCTTCGTACATATACTGTTGAATTCATTATAAAGAACCAATTTGCAGACCAATAAGAAATTCTCTTTCTCTCTATCTTCTCTCTCAATTCATCTTCCTCCTTGGAAGATTCGAGTTCAGCTGTTCAAGAGCAATTTTCAATCGTCTTTGCTCTATAGGCTTACTCAATTGACACTGTATCATTGGTATCAGAGCAAGAGATTTCTCTGATTTGTGGCAATGGGAGATAACAACACTCAGATGCAGGAGCTGCGCAAGGAGGTTGACAATCTCAAACACTCCATGGAAGGAGTAACCAGCTCTGTCGCGAAGATTCGACAGTCTGTGGATGCTAGTGTGGCTCAGGCCATTGACAAATTTCGAAGATTGCTGGCAACATCTATGAACACCCATGGCGGTGTTAGACCCCCAGCTGAAGGAATTCCTAAGGGCGAAAATAGACCTGGAAATTATCAATTGCCAACCCGTAATTACCGGATGGATTTCCCTAAATTTGATGGACAAGGACTGAAGGAATGGCTTTACAAATGTGAACAATTTTTTCGATGTAGACGAAACCCCGGAAGACTCAAAAGTTAAGCTGGCATCTTGCAACTTCGAGGGCAAGGCACTCCAATGGCACCAATCTTATGTGAAGCACAGGCTGTCAAGGGAATGGCCAAGGTGGACTGAGTATGTAGGAAGCCTCTATGCTAGGTTTGGGGCTGAACTATTCGACGATCCAATGAGCGACTTCAAGGACTTGAGACAGGTAAACTCTGTTCAAGACTATGTCAATCTCTTTGATGAATTACTCACTAGGGTTGAACTATCAGAAGATCAGGTTGTTAGTTGCTTTGTTAGAGGATTGAAACCAGAAGTTGGCTTACCTGTTAAAATGCTTGCACCAAGGTCACTAGCTAAGGCAGTTAACTTAGCTAGAATACAGGAGCAGGCCATATTTGTCCAGCAGCAAGTATCTTCTGGATCTTCAGTGCTTTCCAATCCCAAAACCACTCCCAGATTTGATAATCCTCCCACTTTTTCTTATGGATCCACCTACCAATCTAGTAGAAGTCATCCAAACCCTTCCAAAAATTCCACGACCTTCTCTAATAACCCCAAACCTAACCTGAAAAATGTCAATGAGATGGATGAAAGGAGGAGCAAAGGACTATGTTTAATTGTGATGAAAAGTATGCGTATGGCCATGTTCGTAAGAAGAAGAACAATTATTTTCTATAGAAGTAGAGGAGGACAGTGAGGGTGTTGAGGAAGTAGAGCAGGAAGTTGTTGCAAACCCTGCTGAATTCTTGACTATGATAGGCGACTCCCTGTAGACTGATGATCAGGGGGTTATTCTGCCTCATGTTTTTGTTTATACCATGAATGGACTGCATGACTTTAGGACTATGAGAGTAACAGTATCTGTTAAGGGCAAGGCTGTACAAGTCCTAATTGATACAGGGAGTACTCACAATTTTCTGGATTTAAACACTGCCAAAGGGTTAGGATGTATTTTAACTGCTATCTCTCTTTTTCCTGTGTCTGTGGCTGATGGAAACAAGATGCATTGTCAATATACATGTAAGAAGCTGGTTTGGAAAATGCAAGGGGTCTCATTCGATTCTGACATGTTAGTGCTACCTATTGGAGGGTGTAGCATGGTCTTTGGGGTCCAATGGTTAATTACCTTGGGGGATATAACGTGGAATTTCAAACAACTTAAAATGGAGTTCAGTATCATGGGACACAAGGTGTCTCTGAGGGGTATCAAACCTCCGGCAGCTAAGCTGGTACAGCAGAGTGGCATGGATAAATTGTTAGCTAAACCAGCAGAACTATGCTTGATTTCTGTGGGTATGTATTTAGGGGAGGAGTACAGTGGAGAACCAGGAAGTTTCTTTTCTATAAACACTTGTGATGAAGTTGGTAAGGATAAAGCTGACATACAGGAGATACTGCAAGATTTCAATGATTTGTTTAAGGCACCAACTGAATTACCACCATCAAGAGATCATGACCATAGAATCATCTTGAAGGAAGGCACTTCTCCTATCAACATTAGACCCTACAGATACGCTGCAATTGAGAAGGATGAGATTGAGAAGCTGGTCAATGAGATGATGGATTCAGGAGTGATAAGGCCTAGTACCAGTCCATATTCTTCACCCATAGTCATGTTTAAGAAGAAGGATGGTTCATGGAGAATGTGTGTTGATTACAGAGAACTAAATTCACGTACTATCAAGAATAAGTTTCCCATTCCATTGATTGAAGAATTGTTAGATGAGCTACATGGTGCAAAGTATTTCTCTAAGTTGGATCTAGGATCAGGTTATCATCAGATTAGGATGTTTGAGCCTGACATCCCAAAAACTGTTTTTCGAACCCATCAAGTTCATTATGAATTTATGGTCATGCCTTTCGGCCTAACCAATGCCCCCTCCACATTTCAAAGCTTGATGAATCGGATTTTTCTTCCTCATCTCAGAAAGTTCATTTTAGTATTCTTTGATGATATCCTTGTCTACAGCTCTAAGTGGACTGATCACTTTTCTCACTTGAGGGAAACTTTCAAGATTATTCTAGAAAATGTTTAGTATGCGAAGCAGATCAAATGTGCATTTGGGGTTCAACAAATTGACTATTTAGGTCATATCATCTCTCGAGAAGGGGTTGCTATGGATGGAAGCAAGGTAGATGCTGTTGTGAACTGGCCCCAACCTACAACTTTAAAAGGATTGAGAGGGTTTTTGGGACTTGCAGGGTACTACATGAGGTTTATCCAAAGTTTTGGTATTATAGCAAGACCCTTGAATGACTTATTGAAGAAGGGAAATCTCAAATGCACTGAAGCTGCTTCTCAAGCTTTTGACAAGCTCAAACTGGCCGTTACTTCAGCACCAGAGTTAGCATTATCAGATTTTTCCACAGAATTCATAGTGGAAACGGAAGCCTCTATAGGAGGTATTGGTGCTGTATTTGCACAAAATCACAGACCTATAGCATTTTTAGTCAAAGGTTGTATGCGAAGAATCAAGCCCTATCAGTTTATGAAAGGGAAGTGTTAGCACTAGTGTCACCTGTCCAGAAGTGGAGGTCTTATCTTTTGGGTAGGCAATTTATAATTAAAACTGATCATCAACCCCTCAAATATTTGATGGAGCAAAGGATTACCACCCCTGGCCAACAGAAGTGGTTGGTCAAACTACTTGGTTATGACTACCTTATTTCCTATAAAAAAAGGCAAAGACAATGTTGTTGCAGATGCTCTTTCTAGAAGAGAGGAACCCATCCAGCTTTGTAGCATCTCTGGGGTTCAAGCTCAACTACTTGAAGATGTTAAGAACTCGTGGTTGCAGGATCCTGTGCTACAGAAACTAATCACTTCCATTCAGACTACAGTTGTTACTAAACCTTACTACAGTTATCATGCTATGATCTTGAGTAGAAAAAGTAAGATGATGGTAGGCTCTGTGGCTACAGTGAGGAAAGATTAGCTTTATACCATAACAGTGCTACTGGAAGTCATTCTGGTATAACAGCCACCTTACAGAGGCTTTAACAGGATTTTTACCGGAAGAAAATGAAACAGGATGTCTATGCCTATGTTAGGTGTTGTGATGTTTGTCAGAGGTGCAAGGGTGAAAATGTAGCATAGCGGACCTTCTTCAACCTCTAACAATTCCAAACAAGTGTGGCAAGATATTTCGATGGATTTTATAGAGGGTCTTCCTTGAGGTCGATGGACATGAGGTTATTTTTGTGGTAGTTGACAGGTAGAACAAGGCAGCTCACTTAATGGCACCCTTATACTGCAGTGGAGGTAGCTCAGGCTTTCATGAATGGGGTATTCAAACTCCATGGCATGCCAAAAACTATAGTCTCTGATAGAGATCCAGTATTTACAAGCAGGTTTGGAAAGAATTGTTCAAATTGCAGAAGGTTACCTTGCTCACTTCTGCATACTACCCTCAAACAGATGGCAGACTGAAGTTGTTAATAGATGTCTTGAGTGTTATCTCAGGTGCATGATGTTTGAGAAACCTAGGGAATGGCCCCAATGGTTGGCTCTGGCTGAATGGTGGTACAACACTTCATTTCATTCTGCTATTAACATGACACCCTATGTTGTTGATTATGGTCAAACACCTCCTCCGCTCCTTCCATACATGCCTTTCGACTCCCAACTTGACATGCTAACAAGCTAGCGAGGCTACCTTGAGATGCCTAAAGTCTCATTTAGCTAGACCCGAAGTCGAATGAAATCTCAGGCCGACAAAGGAAGAACTGATAGGTCTTATGTAATTGGGGATTGGGTCTACATAAAGTTACATCCTTAAAGACAGACATCATTGAAATCTCATAGTTTCCAAAAACTTTCAGCCAAGTTTTTTGGTCCTTTTCGAATCATAGCAAGGGTGGGTTCAGTTGTGTACACTCTCCAATTACCCCCTGCCTCTCGAATTCACCCTACTTTTCATATTTCTCAGCTCAAAAAGAAGTTAGGGTCCCATATAGTTTCTGCTACCCTCCCTGAGGTTCATGTTGATGCTGGTCACATCCTCTTGACACCAGAAGCAGTTCTTGATAGGAGGATTATCAAGAAGCATGGCAGGCCTGCTACTCAGTAATTAGTTAAATGGTTCAATGCGTCTGAATACGATAGCACTTGAGAGGATTATCAGTCTTTCACCCAGCGGTTTCCACATTTTAATCCTTGAGCTCAAGGATTTGATGAAGAGGGGGAATATTGTTACATGTCAATTGATTAGAAATCTTATTAGTTGTTAATTTTGTATTTGAGTCTGTTAAGTGGGACACGTGATTTGTAATAGTTGTAGAGGAAGTCGGTTACAAGTTGTTATAACTGATTTGTGGACAGTTGTCCTTTCTTACATATACTCGTTGAGTTCATTGTAAAGAATCAATCTGCAGATCAATAAGAAATTCTCTCTCAATTCATCTTCTTCCTTGGAAGATTTGAGTTCAGCTGTTCAAGAGTGATTCTCAATCATCTTTGCTCTTTAGGCTTACTCAATTGACACTATCAATAAAGGACCAAAATAATTCAACCCGTATACATCAACGACTAATTTGGTCGTTTTCTCATTCATAGAACTCACTTTTTATTATTATTTGTATTTTTGGACGATATAGAAGGATCTGAAAACCCTTGGTGCCCCTTTATTAATGACTGCACTTACTATTTATAGATCCCAAAGAAAAAAAGGAGAAAGAGAGAGAGAGCGATCCTTGACTGCAAAGTTCAATAAAAATTTGATTATTGGTGAGAGATATCTTTCTGACTGTTTGGGAAACTCGTTTACTCAAGTTATTGGAGGGGATTGGCAGAACCTATTGGTTTGAGACTGAAAGAAGAAATCTTATTGCATTATACTTTAGGTGGTATAGTAAACCGGGTTTAGCAAGTGCCTTATAAAACAATGGAATGGCCAGTCCAGGTGAAGACAAAGAAGGTTAGGGTGACATCGGTAAGCAAGTAATGTAGAACCCATCACACATCAGAAGGGATGGAGGGTTGCACACCTTATAAGGTGGTGTATGGGTATGCTTGTCAGTTCAAGTTAAACATTTTGTGCCTTGTAAAACTTTATCCCCTAGTGGTTAGACCCTTCACCATTCAATTTTTCAGCTCTGCAGGTCAGGCCAAGATAACTAGCATAATACACGAGGAGGAATCGCTTTTGAGGCGATTAGAAGGCCATGCATTATTGTGTTAGGATAATATCTAAAATGTTTTCATTGTGTCAAAAAAGCATTTTGAAGCTGTGCGGAGAAGAATTAGGTATATTAGGCTGTCGGAAGGTCACTTGTTCCTGTTGCAAGAAACTGTGGTCCAAGAAAGAAGCAAGACTTACATAAAGTACTTAACAATTACTGTGAAAAGAACAGTTAGTAAGATTAGCAGAAATCTTAACACAATAACAGAAATGAAATGACATGATCATTTGAGATAATTTCCAGTGAATTACAAGCAATAAAAATATTTTAACAGTCTTGGCCTCTGGGTAAGTACTTCTAAAGAAACTTTGCAGGATTTTAGCAGAAGCACAAATAAATTAAGGTTGGATGAGTGAAGTACGAGCAATAAAAATAGTTCAAAAGTCGCATGTTCACCAGAGTAATACTTTTAACTTAGTTTTGATAGCTGCTTCTGTATCCAATATTATTCCACCTTGGGTGAATTTAGGCAATAGTATTACATGCATAACTTTTACCTTCAGATTTGCACCTTCAAGATTAGCTCCTTCGAGGTTGGCATTGGTAAGATCAGCTGTCTGGGAATAAATATAAACAGTAATTCAGCACATTAAACAGGCTTCAAAATATAAATGCTAAATAGAGTTGTAAAACTGAAGTGAGAGGATTTAGGCAAAGAATAAGAATCTAGGCCTTATTCCAAATCATTACAAGTTCACTTTCTACCAACAAAGATATAATTTTTTTTTTATATAATTTAGGTGCATCAGAGAATGAAGCTGTAGTAGAATATCTTGTCAAGAAAACACGTAAAAATGTCAAAAATTTAAAAGGATCCACAGAGGATGCAGCAACAGACATTACAGTTTTAGAAGTTTAACCTGTAGGTGAGCAGAACGAAGATCCGCCCCACAAAAGCTACAGCCTATTAGACAAGCATCTGTATGGAAATAAAGGAAGATTATCATAGTAATAAATGTCAGGGAGATGAAGAAAAACAGTAAGAAAAATAATAGATATCTAGATAACAAGCAGATCATTCATCATACTTTACACTGGGAAACAAAAACAGCAACTTATAATGAAAGTGAAGAGTCCGGGCAACTTAGAGCAAAGAAGGTAGATACGTTGATTATCTGATAAGTTGATAAGTTCAGAATACACCTACTTCAAACATTATAACCTACCTGTCTAACAGTAAGCATTTGAGGTTCTAGCACAAAACACTTCAAACATGCATGATGCACCGTAGAACAGAAACATAGCACACTTCCATAGGAGTGCCTGATGCTAGAAAAATTACCCAAAGAATACCTCTCTTCCAAGAAACAAGTAATTCTTGCTGTTTCTCATTCTCTCAACACCCCCTCCCCACCCCCCAGCCCTTTCTAGTCTCTCTACCTCCTTCTATTCTCCCTTTCTTTTCTTCTCAGGATATAAGGAGATTAGACATGGCTCGAAATACAGTAACAACAAACTTGAAGAAACACAAATTATTGGTTATAAATTGTAGTCTTACTTCTGCAGAACTCCACATGAAGAAATCACTCTTACCGTTTAGTTTCAGAACAAATCTGTACTCTGTAGTCTGTAATAACCATTACCTTGTAAATTTGCACTTTGAAGATTAGCACCAGCTAATACAGCTCCACGAAGATTTGCTCCAGTGAATTCACATCTTCCCTAGGCAAAATGAAATCACTAAGGTTGCAACTTGACAGTAAAGATGGGCTTGAAAATAATATTATGTGCTTAAATTTTAATCCACACAAACATGTAAAGCCTGCTAAAAAGAGGATATAAAGAGGGTGAATCTTCAAAAAATCAAACACTGTTACGATGATCAAACACTATGCATGATCTACATAAAATGTGGAGACCGAAAGATTATGCGCTATAGCTTACTCGCGCAATGTGGCATTGTGAAAAATGGAAGCTTCGGCATCAACATCCTGCGACAAAAGTTAAAGAACAATCAAGAAAAAAAATAGTATTATCTAGTAACTAAGTCATGGAAAGGTATTAGTGTAATGAGCTTAGAATTACAAATGTTCCTAGAGTCCCACTCCCTCGTCAACAAAGACATTGAATATACCACCATCCAACCAAGAGTATCACTGCATAAAAGTTATCTTTTCCTTTTCCTTATCCTTTTTCTAGATTTGTAAGCAAGGACTTCTCATTGATGAAGACCAAAAGTTGCCAGCCATGTACAATGGCTACACCAAAGACAATGTGCATTTTTTCTAACTGCAAGTAAACAGACAATACTATGCACTAAATTTATAGAAACAACCAGCTTTGTCTGAAGTATGTTTGCAAATACCCTCAGCACCAAATGAGACAATTAGCAAGGCTGAGATAAATTGATATGCCTATGTCTATGTTATTATCTTTTTATAATTGTGGTGTACAGGCTAGCTTGAGTGCACCTCAACTAATTCCACCAAATACCTGCCACCTCCCGCCAGCAACAGGTATCAGTTAATTCTATCCACCAAGGCTAGGACAGATGGGAAGAACCACCTAGAGTTTTTGTCCCTGCTATGATTTGAACCGAAGACCTCATGATTCTCAACCCACTTCATTGACCACTAGGCCACACCCTTAACCTTGGGTGTGCTTATGATTATGTTATATGGAATCAGGAATGAGATTTAACCACACACAGTCCAATATGATATTACTATGTCATACCGAGTCATCATTGGTATATCAAGGCAAATTAAGAGTCTATGTCTCTATGTAACATTGCTTACTATCTCCAAAACTTCTTTTACCCAATATAAGGCATACAATCGTGTACATTTGTTATACAAACTACCACTTACTCAAAAATAATGTCCAGAACACCCCTTAGCATAATAAAAGGAGACAATTTGCAAAGAAGACTAGAAATCACTGACTGAGGTATGAGAATCTGCAAAAGCTATCAATCCAACAAGGTGTTACACTTGTGATGCCCATTCAACGAGGATACTTAAAGACAAAATGAAGGGTCCTGTACCATAGCTAACCATTTCCATAACTTCTTCCTTCCTATGCTGCAGCCAAACAAGATTACAAACCTTTCATCTAGCTGGTATAACCTAGTCAAACCCCAGTCCAGCCATTTTTGTGAAATTGGCTACTAAGACACTCATCTCTCATCAATAACCTCAATAGGACTGAAGCATGCCAATTAGCTCCAGTTGAGCGCTCGGCTAAGGTTGACCGCTGCAACACTGCGAAACATAATTCTTAATCTTGCAAAAGTAGAAAGACCTAGAAGTATTTTTCAGTCAAACAAAGCTAAAGTGAGAGCACATCAAATTCAGAACTTTTCTCCCTTCATCAAAACAAACCTCCAAAACTGTAAAGAAGTAGCTCATCCACAGAGAGTGCAGTACTACTATGTTCTCACTCAGAATTATATATGATTCTAGACTATTATCACAAGTGTAAATAAAAGAAATTTACTGCTAACGTTAGATGCCCACTCTCCCAAGGTATTATGACTAATTGTAGAAGTACAACATTCTCAGTGATCTACACACTAACTGCGGTTGAAAATTCAGAGACATTTAATTGAGCAATAATACCCTGAATTTTGCACATTGAAGATTGGCACGTGAGAAGAACACTGTTTTTAGACATGCATAGCTGAAATCCACAAACGACAAGTCCTGCACATAGAACAGATATCATTGACTAATTAAAAAGTTGTAGAAAATCATATGAATAATGATATCAACACATCTGACATAGCCAAATGCTAGGGAGATTCTCCCAAGTTGCCAAAAAAGAAGGGATGGGGGGTTGTACTGCAGTAAAACAGAGCAAAGAAGTCATTATCTGATGCTATCAAGATGAGCTTCCTTTTTTGGAATATCCCACTTTGTAAGGAACATGAATTTGGATAAGGTAATTATTTTATTAACGGATAAAGTCAAAGTAGGGGTGTGCGTAAGACCAGAAAAATGACCAAATCAGTTTTCGCTTTATTCCGTCGGTTTAGGTTATGCATATTTGTAACTTTGGTTGTTCAGTTCAGTGATTGGTTTCCAGGGCTCAGTTTTTCGGTAGCTGAAATTTGGAAAAGCCTTGATTTTGGCCTTCCGCGGTTCCAAACTCAAGCACAAAACCAAATGCTATGTTCATGAAGATTGAAGTCCAAACTCCGTTCCTCTCTTTGTTTCAATGAATGCCTCAGCGCTCGCATTCTACGGGGAACTTTTTTGACTATTTACCTTCGTAGGAAGCAAAAGGAAGCAGAAAAGGTCATCATGCAATCTACCAAAGCTGAAGCTTTTTCTGCTGGTGAATAATCTACATTCGCAATGAGCTACATTTGCCTATTGCCCACAGAAAAGGAGAAATATCTTGCCCATCGCTTTATACCAAAAAAGGGGGAAAACCTACAAAATATGGTTCTCTCCAAAAGACGCCCAGTCCTCTATACAAACAAGAACTACATGGGTGCACAAAATAGAAAGGGATCGAAGACTACTTCTCAATTGGCAAAGCTCATATCCACCCTTCAAAAGCTCTCATATTTCTTTCTTTCCAAATGACCCACAAAAGAGCAGAAGAAGTAACATTCCATGCCTTGTGTCTTCTTCTTCTAACTTCACTCCTCCACTGGAACATAAACTCCTTCACAGATCTTGTCATTACCCAAGAAATGTCAAACCATCTGAATATATCCCCCAATAACCTCGTGGATATTTGCAATGTAACGGAGTTTGATCCACATCCTCACCAGCCTCCTTGCAAAGAAAATACCAGATCAAGCAGAGAACCTTTCTTTTTCCAAGATTCTCTGCCGTCAAAATAACCCCTCTACTGGTAGCTAACCACATGAAGAAACATACTTTCCTCGGCACCTTAAGAATCCGGACCAAAGCATATGGGAACCCTCATCGCCCCGACCCAAGAGCTTCTCATAAAAGAACTTAACAGAGAACACTTTGTTATTCCCCAATTCTCAACTAAAAACATCAGATTTGTTGACTGATTTACATTGCTTTTGAAGTAAAACTAGCCGTCTCTGAAGCTCAGTCACCTCCCAATAGTGAAAATTCCTCCTGAACCTCAAATCCCAAAAAGTCTCTTAACAGTGTTTTTATAATTTGTGGAGTAAGGCGACGGGACATTCCTTCAATTCTAGATTAGATCAACTCTGTATTCAAATTTTTCCCCCTTCTTGGGGTAAATGGAAAACAGAGTTGCATGTAATTGCACCCTTTTCTTAATGTAAGACTTATCTTACTTGAGGACAACTTGTCCTTTGTCATAACCTCTTTGACTAAATGGTTGCTTCTCTTATTTATTAAAACACAGAAAAACAACATAAAACAATGAGGAGATGGCGATCATGCCCATAGAAGCATAAGCTCTTTATGAAGCATAGAAACTACATGAGGAAATGAGCATAGTTATTAAGACAACAAGATGGTAATGCAAGAAGTCTAGATCAAGTATCCATATCTGCAACTACGAACAAAAAGAAATGAAATAGTCTAGCACTAAATTATTACCAACTTCGAAAGATCAAGACCAGAAAGATTAATTCCCCGAAATCTGACTCTCTCAGACTGTATGCATTTGATAATGTCAATGCGTGTCAATTCAGTACCCAACTCCTCATCCTCCTTCCTCTTACTTAGGGCAGATTTAATTCCATCTACTAGACCCTGAAAAGAAATAGGTAAACTAAGAGCTCTTAACAACTACGCAGACACACAAACTACTTTAGCTGTCAGAAAATATTTGTAACTCCCAAATAGCTACATTTCAGTACAACATACCTCTTTAGTAAAGGAAGAAAAAAAAATTATCAAGTAAAAGATATCACTGATAATAACAAGGCCAACATGGCCGTATACAAGAGGCATACCAAAAAGGAGAAACCTACAAGAAAATGGTCCTCTTCAATGTTACCAACTTCGAACCAATCCTCTATACAAACCAATGTTATCAGAAGCGAAAAGTGCAAAAAAGCGCTAAGGTTCGTTGAGGCTTTAAGCGCAAAGAAAGCATGGGTTTTATTGAGAAAAGGCACAAATGAAGAAAACATACAAATATATATATATATATATAAATATAGTCCAAGACTAATAATTATAAGCATGAAAAACAAAATATATGGACGAAGAAACTAATAATTTAAGCATGAAAAACAAATATATGGACGAAGAAATTGATTGTATTACGATAGAGTGAAATATGAATGTCTTACTGTCACCTCTTCAGGAAATGCTCATTCGCAAGAAAAAAGTATGTTGTAGAGCCTTGATGACGACACTGTAACACATATTTTAGCAAGTCAAAGCGCTCAACATGTTTTGAGCTACGCTTCAGGGCGTAAGCGCACCTTTGAAAACATCACAACACATACAAAAAGGAACTACATGGGTGCACCAAAAGAAAATAAGGATGGGAGACTACTTCTCAATTGAACAAAGCTCATATCCACCCCTTCAAAAACTCTCATATTCCTCTCTTTCCAAATGACCCCCATTAGAGCAAGAGGAGTTACATTCCACACATTGTGGCTTCTTCTTCGAGCTTTACTCTTCCAGCTGAACATCAACTCCTTCCCAGATTTTGGCATTACCCAAAGATATGCCAAACCATCTGTATAATGGCTAAACTGACATCTCTATATCTTCCATTTAACATATATATTCAAGAAATGATTCCCCAAAAGAAATAAAGCACAACTATTCAGTGGGTGTGTCAATATCGATGGTTTGGAAACCATGACAAGTAGCACTTTGGTTCCCTATCTCAGGAAATATTGGTTTATAACCAAGAAAATCTCAAGCATGCTCAATCTATATCTCAAATAGTTCAATGATCTAAGAAAAACCTGGTCCTGTTCTATTTGAAGAGGCTAAATATAACATTCTCCTAGGTCTTTAAGAAGCATAAGCAAATGAATGAAAAGTATATCACCTACATGAAACACCAAAAAGTTACAGAAAAAGTATCTCCACGGCTCGAAAAACTAAGAAAAGCAATTCCAATCATAGACTGCCACAAGGTACAGGCACATGGTTCAAGCAAACAAAATCTGCCCTTAAATCTTAATGACCACATTCACATGGCAATATGAGTGATTTAGAACACAAAACATATACAAGTGCACGATAAACACTAGAAGAGGATAATGGATTTACAAGGAGTTGATAGTACTCCGCCTCCCGCAGAAGCTGAGCATATTCAGAATCTTTCAGGGGTGGAATTACACCATCCCTCAACCAATTAAGGATATGGTGGAAGTGCTTTCCGTCCCTGTCAACGAATATGTGTCCCTGCAAAAACACATTGAAAGGAGATATGAAGTCGTGAAAACTAGACCATAGATGTCTCTTCTCCAAAGATCAACATGAAGGAGCATGAACTTGATATCTGTCAAAGATAATAAATATATTTTCTGACAAGAATGAGATATAAATTACATTTCCAGAAACTAAAGAACCAGCTAATACCAATGAACAAGCCTCCGAGCTAATTCCTAATAAGGATGAATGCATAGTGCATTATGGTAAGTGGTAACCAAAACCAACCAGTATTTTAGGACCCTTTGCATCTGCACAATTTATCTAGAACTGTCCAAATTTGAACTACTAAACATCAAAATCATTGACCTTATGAGAACACTAGACACAAAAGCAGAGCGACCTAGTGTCAAGACTAACATGATGTAACATCTAATTACACACAACAGAGAAAGAAAACACAAAAAGAGCAGAGAAAGAAAATAAGTGCAAAAATGTAAGAGTCCTTGGAGTTTTTGTACATGCTTGTTTATGTTTCACGTGAACCTGTTTTAAAAATCGCATCTTGTACTGACATTTCAGCACTCCATTTCCAAAGAAATGAATAAACTATTGAGATTCATAAAGTAATTGGTGAAAAGATTGGTGCTTTTTAATTTTATACAAAATTACAAGAAGTTCAAGGTACTTTCTTAGCTTGTTTCCTTTTATTTTATTGATCTTCTGAAGTAAAAAGACCAGTATATAGTATGCGAAAGAGTAGAGAACCCACACAAAATTATGGTTCTCTAAAAAAGAGGTCTAGTCATCTATCTTGTGAGTCGTGGGTGCACTAAAAAACTATCAAAAAAACAAAGGGATATTCTAATCTGTGCAAGATCATATTACTCTGCTTAATTTCTTTATCACATACATTGAAGCTTTTGGCAAGCTGCATTTTCTCTTTGAACTATCAGACATCAGTAATGGGATACTAATGAAAAATATGTTCATGAATACTACAGTATTCCTTATTCTGACTAATCCCACAATAACAAAGATCACTCGCCAGCAGTGTGTGAGTGAGATAAAGGATTAGTGTCTGAGTCGCTGGATCACAAAAATGGATCTATGGTTTCAAGTCCACTCGTTGATTTCAAGAAAACCGAATCAATTGGCCTCCAAGCAAAATATTACTCACCTTGTACTTCTTGTCATCAGATGGTTTTGGTTTATTAACGGGAGTTCTAAATGTTAGTTATCAAAAAATAAAAAATCGGTTTATATGGATCACATCCAAATTGGATTCTTTTGTCTAATTCTTTTTTACAGTGACACAACAAGGTGTTTTTCTCTTACTATAAGATCCATCATAGGATACATAAACATGGATCGTATTCTGATGTATGCTTTACATTTCACATTTGGTTCAACATCGTTTATCGATGAATGAAGAATAGCTAGCCTAAAAACAGAATGATGATATGGCATTACATTATGCATAACAAATGATATTGTCCAAACTCAGCCTAGGAATAAGTTGTGAATTGTCAAGAGAACATTCTAGTGAAAGACTATGAAAAGCTATTAGCCTGTTAAATGTTGTTCACCAGGTGCCTCTCATCTGCAACAACTCTAAGGGCCAAAAATTTTCATTCCGAAGTGGGTCCATTCCAGCTACGTGTTCCACATCGGAGTTTCTTGCAGAATCTGTGGGGGTCAATTCTGAAGGTGGTGAACAGGTTAGAACATTCACTCTTGCTACTGGAAAGTGTCAACATATGAACAATAAGGCGGGGAAGGACTCTGATGGTTACGAGGTGGGACAAAATCTGCTCCGAGTTTGGTGCACCCCAAAGATTCCTATATGTATAGATAAATCGGAGTCTTTTGTAGAGAATCATTTTTTTATAACCGTGGTGTTTGGACAAGCTTGCGCTCACCTCGACTAATTCCATAGGATACCTTTCACCTCCCACCATCGTCATGTATCAGGTGACTGCCAAGGCTAGGATATATGAGAAGAAAACAACTAGTGATTTGTGTCTCTGATGAGTTTGAACATGAGACCTCATAGTTCTCAACCCATTTCATTGACCACTAGGCCACATCCTTGGGTATGGAGTTCTACTCTAAAAACAACATACCCAGTGTAATCTTCTTTGTATCCGCAACATTATTCCTACATTGTAAAGGTAGAGAGATTGTCCCACTAACAATTAAATTATTTTCCTTATAAAAAAAATGTTTTCATCTTATAGATAGGTATATCCTCCTTAGTTTGTCTCTTCAGTTTGACCAATCAGATCTACTTAGATACCACAAAAAAATGGTGTTCTTTTCACATATATACTTAAACCTATTCAGTTAAATATAAGCCTCTCTCTGACTCCCAGGAACTGTTTAAAAAGGCATATGTTAGTAAAATCTTTAACCCATTCCTACATGATTTATTTATTGATTTGATCAGCAAGGTCACTTCCATTTATCCAATCAAAGGTTGGTGTTGAAATTGTTGAGGTTGCATAAGGTCAGGAACAATGGAAAGAGACGATGGGAAGTGGAGATATTGACTAAATTTAGAGAAAAAAAATTGTGGGGAAGACCAAAAGAAGGCTTGCCCTGATTTTGAAGGGAGAAATGGAGGAAGAGGTGGAGAGGACGAAAACTGATGGACCATTAAATTTCTATTCAATTTGATTTGTTGCAACAGTTTTCTTTTTTTGAGACAAGTAACAGAGGTGCAACAGCTTGAAGCAATCAGCACGTTTCTCACAACTTAGAGATTTGATGTACAGAAAACCAAAAACCTATATAGGCTAGCAAACAGAGTAACAAGGGTTAAGTTTAACTTAGGTTGAGACATATAGATGAGACCATCAAACCTCGGAAGAATAGTTTGTTAGACATGAAAGAACGAAAAGTGGCTCCCTTTCCAGGGGGAGGCAGGTGCATGACAGCCATTCTTTTGGGAGATAAACTCTGACTAGAGAAGGAACTGAATCTGAATTGGTGCTTTTATGTGCAACCAGTGGTCTTGGCGTCTTGCTTTTTCCAATCAAGGATTTTGCTTGACCCATTGCAGCAAATGGAATGCACAACCAATTGTTTAAAATTCTTGCAGCACTCTACTTCACATCATTGTATATGGTATGATATAGATCAGAGTTTCAAGGGATAAGAGAAAACCCCCATTCTCTCAGGTCATGGAAAATACTTGAAATTTCCAAAATTAAAGTAACAGGCTAACTTCCATCCTCCTTCATTAACTATGAATGATACTCTTCTCTAACTGTAGTTCAACATCTGAGAGACAATTGCAATGTGCCTTATGTAATTAAAGAAGTGAGTGTGTGCATAACATGTACCTTCTCTGACTCCTGGCAGATAGTATGACGACCACTAAACATAGCAGCGAGCATCGAGTCTGGCTCACGTTGTGTGAGGGTATCCAGTGTAGTGCAAAACTTCCTTCCTCCTTTAGAGAAAATTTTTTAAATCACTCATAAAAATCAGCCCAAAAAAGATGTGTGTGAGAAAATGACAAGGCAAAATCATTTTCCTGCGTTACAATTCTTCAGTATTATCCTTTCATGTTCAAGTAACAAAGTAAAGATATTAAACATAATAATTAATACAAAAAAATACGCAATCCAGCTGGAAAAGAGAATATCCCTGGGATGAACTTAAATGGAAACCACCTCCAATATTTTAGTTGGAACTTTAATTTAAGCAAAATTCAACAAGTCTATAGACTCCAAAATCTTGCAGAATGTTTCTTAATTGTTTTATGTTGTAGAAAGAAATGGAAGAGAAATCTCATTTCTGTCAACTCAGATGTCTAAGATTGGAACTAATGTAACTGTTATACTCATTTCTGACCCAAATAGATTACTGCTTCTAATATTGTACCTTATGCATCATTCAGTGTACTATGAGAAAAGGAAAACCTGTGTGCTAAAACCAACTTTTTGAGATATACATTCATGACCTAAGAAAGAGTAATACTTCTAAAACTGAACCTTATATCAATCCTTGTGTAGCTACAGAATTGGAAATCAATTCGTCTAGATCTTAATATGGAGCATCACTACAAATTCTTAATGCCCGAAATGCCTAGGGAAGTAGATTCAAAAGAGCAAGGCTTACCGATATTCAGACGAACCGTGGAAGACGAACTTTCGGAGTCATAGGCCATTCTCAGAGTTTGAGGATTGATGATTCAATGGACTCACTGTCACTCTCCTAAGCAAAAAATAGATTCTACTCCTCCTTTCTACTTTCTAGTCTTCGAAAGTAGCATTATTGACCCCTCTCACTTCAGTAATTTCCACTTTACCTCCTACACTTCTCATATTTAGGAATATTATTACACTTTATTTGGAAATTTATTGAGTCATGAAATTGTGTTCGGTTTTAATATTTAAAAAGCTGAAGTCATTTTGCCGTCTTTTAAAATTATTCGAATAATTAACTTAGACACTTAACTATAACGTGTATCTTGTAACACCCCGAAAATCAGTTGGCTAAACTAGAGCTTAACGTGAGGATTAACGTCAAGGAAGGAGGGCAAGGGTCAAGAAAGTGGTCTAGGGCAGCCTACCTTGGGTAGACACTGCCCTACCTACCACCACGTCTCATGGTCAAGACCACGACCCTTGGAATGGCTCTTGGTGGGCTAGGCAGCAGCCTCCCCAAAACTGCCCGAAATTAACCCCTCTTCACAAGCCACTTCACCGCTCGTGGTGAAGATCACGACTCATGGAGGAGAGTTGGATGTGTGAGGCTGGAGGAGAGGTGGCTTAGCCATTGCCTCAAGGCCCATGAGAGGGACCATAGCTTGTGGCAAGGACCACGAGTTGTGGAACCTTCTATGAAGGTGCCTTGGGCTTGGGGGCTAATGGCACTTTTGCCAAGCCACTACCTCAAGGTCCACGAAGGAGACCACGGCTTGTGGTCATGACCACAACTCGTGGGACCCCATGTGGTACTTGGGCAGCCCACTTAAAATGGATGGTGTTTTGGATAATTCCAGTTTAAGTTAGAATTAAGTGAGGTCATTTTGCCTTAACTTAGGGTCATTATATTTTTAATTCTAAATTAAAACTCACCAATTTAATTCATTATTTCCAAAATCCAAATAAATTGCAAAGTTCATCCTCTCCCAAAATATTCTTTCTCTAGAAACTTAAGGAAGAAGAAGAAGGAGATTCAAGTTAGGATTCAAGAAGGAAGGTTCTTCATATCAAATCCATTGGGCTTTATTGTTAAGGTATGGTAGTTTTCATCCATAGATAGCTTTCATCCATGTATTACTCTTTAAATCTCCAATTTCAAAAGATAGAAATTCCAAAATGTTAGGATTTGATTTCAAAGTCATGGGTTCTTTTCAAACTTGGTTCTAATGGTTGGATTATGTTATATTAAGCATGATTTGATGATTTCCAATGGTTTTCATGATGAATCCTAAAGAACCCATGAAATTTTCATATTTCTCAATTGTGATCTTATGATGTGGGCCTTTGTTGATGAAAGAGGAGTGTCATGAAATTATGTATGTGGTGATTGAGTCACTTGAATTATGATGATATTCATGTCTAATGTTTGAATTCTAGATGTGTTGATTGAAAGTGAGCTTTGAACCTTGGAAGGAAAAAGTATGATGTAAATGCTTTAAGAACACTTTGAAAGTGAAGTGTCAATGCTTATGATGTTGTTGTTGTGTTGTTGAACGGACATTTTCATATACACACCTATGTATAAATATGATGTGAAATGTTTTATCACATAATGAAGATCTTAAGATTGAAAGGTTTTCTTATCTAATTGAATCTTAGATTTATATGTAGACATGAATGGTGAAAAGTTATTCTCACACATGATCTAAGAGCTATCATATGAACTAAGCTTGGATTGATTGTCAAGACATTCTTCCATGAATATGAGTTCAGGCAAGACTTAATAAGTACTCCGTGAGAATTTATGCTTAGCACCGAGTGGATACTGATATGAGATGGGAGCTCTCACGTTAGTTGAGGCTAGTTCTTAGAAGCAAATTCTTGAGATGAAAGCCCTGACGATATTCGAGGCTTGGTTTTTAGTAGCAATCTCATTATCCCATAAACTATGTACCCCATATGTTATTTAGCTAGTGGATCCACCTAAGCTAAAGTTATCGATTCTACCTTATGCAAGCAGACTAATCCTTTTCGGTGTGGGAGTCATTGCTTTCCATGTTAAGATCACACGGTCTCATGCCACAACAAGAACAAAAACATGAATAATGAACTATATGGTTATTCAAGAAGTTTCGTGTATGAGTTTTTAAAGGTTTTAAAGATGATATAACTATGTTGACTCATGTTTTATGACTTATGAGTTTAAATTCTCATATCATGTTTAACTTAGTTAATTGCATAAACTCCAAATGAAATGTCCCTTTTAACACGTTTTCAATGTTTTCATGCATGGTTATTATAATTGGTGCATTTTGTACTAACGCCTACTTTGCCTACAATTTTCCCAAGTGTAGGGTTCGGTTCTTGAGGTGATCATTCTCGTGGCTAGACTTGGACTTGATTGTTTTCCGAGCTTGGTGAGTTCTCATGGTTCGTGAACGAATTTTCTTATGTTGTAGTTTCATTTCATGTACTTTCCATTTTTAGACATGTTGTATGGGCTAGAGCCTATTTTATTCAAGATTGTGATAGATAGCTATGTTGAGACAAAGTGTCTAGACTTCTACTTTCGCTTATGAAAATTTGTAGACTTGGAATGTGTTTATATTATTATTATTCTACTGCTTATGTTATGAAGACTATGTGTCTTGTATGGAGTCCTTTGGGTATCTATACGCCATGTTACGTCTAGGGGGTACTCCTAGGTCATGACAAACTTGGTAATCAGAGAACAAGGTTTAGAATGATTCTTGGATTATGTTTCATAAGCCATGTCTAGTAGAGTCATGTTCATGAGTATGAAGCGCGCCACATTTATGGATGAAAAGCTACAAGATGCTTAGGAAATTTCACTTCTTTCATTAATCTTAAGTCGTGCGATAAATTTTAACTCTATAAGGTCTTTCTTCTTATCCTTATCTGATGGTCTACATGATACGACTACTCGAAGGGCTTTTGCTAGAAGGAATGATGAAGACAATGTGAACCAAGGAGCTCCTTCTCAAGCTCCTCGAGCTTTGATTGATCTCGAGAATGTAACAAATGAGGAGTTTAGGGGGCCTTTCAAGTTTTGGCTCAAGCCGTATATATAGCTAATAATAGTGGTTCTTATGTTATATCTCACATGGTCTCATGTTGATTAAGATTTATTTCCACAACAATAACAAGAATATGATTTTATGAACAATAGTTACTCAATAAGTTGTGTGTATGAGTTTTAAAAGGCTTTTAATATGATGGTGATTATGTTGGCTATGTTTTATGACTTATGCTCTCTAAACTCTTAAATCATGTTTAAATTGACAATTGCATGCTTTCAAATGAAATGTCCCTTTTTAGGATCAAGATATCATCCAATTATCACTATTTTCCTCCAAATATACTTGACACTTCAAAAGCATCACTCTCTCCTAATTGGCATGACATGTCATTAAAGTCTTTTTTTAATAATACACTAATTTAATTCATTAAACTAATTTAACTAAAATAATGATCATATTATTTTTCATTTTTTATTAATATATTAAGAATAAATTTTCATACTTAAAATCTTTTATCATAATTAAACTTTTATATTTTTATGTTATGCAGAATACTTTTTAAAACATACTATAATCTTATCAATTTTGAATACTTATAAACACATACATTCAAAAAAATATTGATATACAAATTACTCATGAACGCTAATTTACTTCAATTAATCATAAATTGTATAATGAATCAATAACATTGAAGGACAATTAATTATTAAAAAAATAATTTTTTGGGTGCTTTGTAATCCATATATACTTACAATTTCTTTTTTTTTTTAAAAAAGTAAGTGAATAATATTTATAGAAAATAAAGCTTAAATCTTTATTAATCAGTATATTAATCTCATTTAATATGTATATTATTGAATTAAATTAGGAAATTCAATTAATTATTAGTTTATTTGTTGATGATTAACTCTATGAAAACTTATAATATAATATAGTATAGAATAAAAGAATAAAAATAAAATAAAATTAAAAAAAGTTAAATAATAATTTTTTCTTTCTTACCAATTTTTTTTATCTAATCTTAAAAATTTAGTTAAATACTTTATAAAATAAATTGCTTAAAATTTTCAAATAATTTAGTTAGGAATTTTAAAATATCAGGTAATAAGTGCACATATAAATTTTTTTCATTGAATTTTATTTGGTGATAATATATAAAGTTACTAGACTTTTAAATTATTTTTCTTATAATCTTCATAAATTCTCATCTAATTTATATATTTATTTTGTAGAGACATAAGTTTGATAGATTAAATAGGTCTATTATTGTTTAAAATGATGATTTAATGGCAGGACATATCAACTAGAACTTAAGGAGACTTTTTGAGGTATTTAATATTTCTAATGGATAAAAAATATAATATTATTCACCTTTTATTTTCAAAAAAAAATATCGGAAGCATGAATTGCAAAATACACAATTAGTGTTATTATGACAATTAATTGACCTTTAATATTATTGATTTATTATACAACTTATGATTAATTGATGTACATTAACGTTCATGAGTGATTTGTATATCAATATTTTTTTTGATTGTATGTGTTTATAAGTATCCAAAATTGATGAAGTTATAGTACATTTTTAAAATGTATTCTTCATAACATAAAAAAATAAAATGTTTCATTATGATAAAAGATTTTAAATATGAAAATTTATTCTTAATAAACTAATAAAAAATTTAAAAAATAATATGACCATCATTTTTTGTTAAATGGGTTCAATGAATTAACATAGTCTACTATTAAAAAAGACTTTAATGACATGTCATGTCATTTAGAAGAGAGTGATGATTTTGAAGTGTAAGTATATTTGGAAGGAAATAGTGATAGTTAAGTAATATTTTAGTCCTAAATAAAATATAAATGATATTTTAAGACAATTCTCTTAACTTGGATGACGATTTAGGAAATTGACTCCTCAATAATATAATAAAGTTACTTCAATATCTTAAAAAATTAGACTCTACTATGACTGACGTTTTAATCAATTTTTACATGCAAAATTAAAGGGAAAAAAAATCAATTTCACTTTTAATAAAAATTGCTAAAATTTTAACCTGTTTTACATGCACTCACTCATGTATGACCGAATTTCAGGAATAAGAAAAAATATTTAATCGCTCTTCAAACACAAATGATTAAAGTTTTAATTAATTTTAACTTACACTATAAATATTAGAAATTAACCTTAGCAAATCATACCAAACTTCAGATAAAAAATACTCCATATTTGTGCACTTTTCCACCTATACGCGTTGAAACACAAACTTCTCAAAATTTGAAAGGAAAAAATTTCAAAGTTCTCTTTTTTTGAAAAAAAATTTATCGTCAAAAAATTTCTTCATTTTTTGAGAAAAAAAACCTACTACTTGACCTACAACACTTTGAAAGAGACCATGAAATCACTAAAGTTCGATACAATATTTCAAACCCTAACAAGTTAACTATCTGATTGTCCATTTGGAGACATATTCAACAGGATTAGTTAATTAATTAATTAATTAAGAAGATACCATATGATTATCTCATACATTGATCTGCTTTAAATTATGACTAATTTGTGGCTAGTACTTATAACATTTTTCAACGTGTGACTATTGAAGTTCATAAATAAAGAAACAGATAAAAAGTAAAAGGAAGCCACAAAAGACTGGTAGAAATTAAACATTAAGTACAGAAATGAGGAAGCCACAAAAGTATTTTTGACCTCAAACTTTCATAATGCACAAACAGACACTTTAACTATTCAATTTTTAAATAAATAAACATATGAATCCTACATGACATAATACACGTATGACAAGAAATGACATGTAGAACATGCGTGTTTATTTGTTCAATTTTATACAAATTTAAGTGTCTACTTGCGCATACTTAAAGTTGAAGGGCATAAATATGATTTAAAGTCAAGATAAATGACATATTTATGTATTATGCCAAGAAAAAAGGTACTAAAAGGGGGATGAACACAAATGTATATGCTCTCTGCACTTTTGTTTGCAATATCAGTCTAATATAATGTATGGTATTGGAAATTCAGGCCATAAATCATGGAATGGAAGATTCATTTCTTGACAAAGTGTGTGAAATTAGCAAACAGTCCTTTGCTCTTCTACTGAAGAGAAGCTACAATATGGTTAATCAAATGGAAGGATATGGAAATGATAAAGTTCTTACAGATAAGCAAAGGCTTGATTTGTCTGATAGATTGTATCTTCATGTGTTCCCTGAAGATATAAGAAAACTCCAATTGTGGCCCCAAAAACCTGATTGTTTTAGGTACATCCTCCGCTTTTACTCCGAGATGACTGAGTTAGACACACACAGGGCTAACAAAATACTACTTGGTGGTAGGGATGTTTTTGAAGAATATATGAAGAATATGAAGTTGTTGAGTGAGTCCCTCCTTAAGGCCATGAATTGCTTTCTGGACCAGTGTGGAGAACGTGGAACGACTATTGCAAGATTCAACTTCTATCCTCCGTGTCCAAGGCCTGATTTTGTACTTCGAGTCAAACAACATGCGGATGCATCAGCCATTACCATCCTGTTGCAAGACAAAGAAGTTGAAGGGCTTCAGGTTCTCAAAGATGATCAATGGTTCAGAGTGCCTGTTGTCCCATATGGTTTACTCATTAAATGTTGGAGATCAAGTTGAGGTAAGAAAGAGTAAACTAAATCATGCTGAATGGCTTCACATGTTCAAAATTTAATGCGTCTAAGACACATTTCTTTTATGAAGAGACGCATCCAACCTTCAGAAGATTTCAGGGTTGCAACGGAAGTCTACTCTGAAATCAGTGCCCCGAACCTGATTTTTCTATCCAAAGTTCTCTTTCTTCTTTTACCATTAATCGTGGTGACTTGAACTGGTTGTCGATTAAATGTTCTTCTTTAGCGTTAACCATTTCTATTTATTTTCCAATAAAATGTTGTACAACATGTAAAAATTTTCAGAAACATTGTTCTTCCTTGCTGCAGATAATGAGCAATGGCATCTTTAAGAGGGTGTTGACGAATGCAGAACAAGAAAAAAACACCCTTGCTATTTTCATTATGCCAGATGTAGCTGTTGGGATTGGACCAGTGGAGAAGCTTATCAACGAGGAAAGGCCGAGAGCGTACAAGGACATTAAGAATTATGTTGCTCTCTTCTTCCAAAGCTATCAGCAGGGGAAAATACCAATAGAAGCAGCAAAGATTAGTAATTAGCTGATGTTGGTTCCTCTATTTGTATTTTTACTAGTCGTGGTTGCCTGTGCTGTGAACGAGCCCAGTACTAAGATCTGATAAATGCAACCTCTTGAATAAGATAAGAAGGACAGTTTGATTTAGAACCTATTTTTATTCATTTACAAATTATACTAAATGTACAATATTTACTAAAGGTAAGGGTAACGTTTGCTTACGTCCTACCCTCATTGGAACAGTTATAAAAGGCTAGAGGTATACTAGACTTAGTTGATTGGTGGAGGTCTAATTCAACACTTTTCCAACAAGAAGATCATTTTAAACAAAAAAATAATAATTTGTGTACTTTATTTGAAAGCATCATAAAAAATGGGGATAAGACATCATCCAAAGACTATGATCAAAATTAGAGAGACACACCTTAGCTAAACAAATATCTTATTACCTCTCAACTCATTTTTTTGATAATTTTATACATTTTCTGACTTAAGTGGCATATAGTTGAGACACGTGGAAGATGTTTGGATACCACATAGGCCAAAAAGATATATAAAATTACAAAAAAAAAAATATGGATTCAAGGGAGCAATATAACCTTAGTTTAATTAAGACGTGTCTCTGAGATTTCGATCATAGCATAAGGGATACTTAAATTATAAATGTCCCTACCGTGAAGATATTTTTGAACTTAACTACTAACAAATGACATTTTTATTCAATAATTGTAGTTTTAAATATTGTTGATACTTTTTCGTTTTAAAAGTCAAAAATCAATAAATTCTCATCAGATTTAAAAACCAAATTTCATTGCCAAACACTATTTTCAAGGGCCTACTGTCCAATCACCCCATCTATGTATTGATTTTCTTGGGATATATTTGAGAAACAAAGCAAAACAGTAAGATGTGCAACCACCTAACATTTGCTTCGTACAAAAAAAATTATGGCTGAAACTCAAGAAACAGTTTCCAAATCAGTACAAGAACTAGCAAATACCAATCAAGTTCCAGAAAAGTATATTTATGCACAAGGATCAATCAATACCTATCCTCTTTTGTTCGATGTGCCACAAGTTGATCTTAGCCTTCTCACATCCCCTAACAGACAACAACAGCTCAACAAACTTCAATCAGGTCTCAAGTCTTGTGGCTGTATCCAGGTCTGATTTTTTTTAAAATTTTTTTTTGCTTGGCTTGTGATCGAAGAAAGTGAAGTAGGGAAAATCTAAGTAGCTCAGTTAGCTTAATTTATAATTTTTTGGTTGTGAGAGTTCGATTTCTCACCTTGTAATATCCTCCCTTGTTTTTCCTTCTCCGTGACCGGATTTAGGTGAGAGGGAGGTACTCATTTGAACACCCTCCGTGCATATACAAAATTTGGATCTTTTAAACTCAAGACTAAGGTTGACTTATAAACTTGAGATGATCCAAAAGTGAAAAACTAAATGGAAGTGTTTAGTTGCCAGTTGAGACCAAGTTAATGTTGTGTTTTAGCAAGTGTGAATGAGAAAAGAAAAGAGAAAATATCAAAAGTGAGGGAACTACTTTGGAGAGAAAATGAAAAGTCATTTGCAAAGTGCAAATGAAAAGTCATTTCTTATAAATTTGCAGGTAACGGTAACATTCCGAAAAGTTGTTACTCTTTCCGAAAAGTCGTTACTGTTGTGCGGAATTTGAGATAATACGAGAAAATATAAACGCGAAAAACAAGACAACAGATTTACGTGGTTCACCAATAAATTGGCTACGTCCACGGGAAGAGAGGGAGCAGTTTTATTATGGAGAGGCAAAAACAGAATTACAGAATAGGGTTTGCCATAGCGTCTATTCTATTTGTAGCGGGTTTGATTCAAGGCATTCAACAGTTACTTTTCGAAAAGTCGTTACTTTCCAAAAAGTAGTTATTTTCCTAACAGACACAATTTTTCGAAAAGTTGTTATTTTTTCCAAAAGACACAACTTTTTGGATAAAATGGGTCTGAACAGATTTCACTGAACAGACATGTTCCTTGCTGAAAATGGCTATAAAAGGAAGTCAATTTTTGATTTTTAAATCACTGAAATTTTTTTTTGTTTCTCTGCATTTATTTTTCTCTCAAATAAAATCAAAGTGTCGATCGACTGAGTCTGTGTGACTTGTTGCTATTCTTCAGTTCGTTGAAGTTAAAGAAGTTTGAGGTACCGCTATTTCTTTAACAGGTTTAATCCGTTTTATCTTGGGAGAAATTAATCCATAACCTAGGGATTAAATTTCTTAAGGACACACAGTAGTTTCTGTGGACTCGGATTAATTCTTCTATTTTAAATTTTTTCTGCTTCATGTTGTTTCTGTTTCTGTACATTAACTTCATAAATACAAATTATTGTAAGAATAACAATCTTAAGAAATTTAACAGTTTCTGTATTTGAGGTTTCTAGAGATTAAAACCTTTATGGTTTTCTACTCTACTTGAATTTTTAAAATTCATTCGATTAACGACTAAAAGAACATAAAAAACTTTATCGTTAAATCAGAAACAGTTTGTGTAAAGATTTGTTCTTTACTTTAGTATTTTAAATACTTAATTTATCTGCCATTTGTGACAGAAAAAAATGACTAATTCAAGTCAAACAAATGCTGGAACAGTAAGTGCTGCAACAACAACGGTTGCACATAATCGTTCAAATGCTGCCTTAGCACCGGCTGAGAAACCTGCAAAGTTTTCTGGAGTCGACTTTAAGAGATGGCAGCAAAAGATGTTCTTCTATCTCACTACGTTGAGTCTGCAGAAGTTCATCAATGAGAATGTTCCTGTTATGTCAGATGAAACTCCGGCTGATGAACGATTCTTGGTAACAGAAGCATGGACACACTCAGATTTTTTGTGTAAAAATTATATTTTGAGTGGTCTGCAAGATGATCTGTACAATGTGTACAGCAATGCAAAACCTCAAAAGAACTCTGGGATGCTTTAGAAAAGAAATACAAAACAGAAGATGCCGGAATGAAGAAATTCATTGTGGCAAAATTTTTGGACTTTAAGATGATAGACAGTAAGACTGTCGTCACCCAAGTTCAAGAATTGCAGGTCATAATTCATGATCTCCTTGCTGAAGGATTAATTGTGAATGATGCTTTTCAAGTGGTTGCAATTATTGAAAAGTTACCTCCATTGTGGAAGGACTTTAAAAACTACTTGAAATACAAACGCAAGGAGATGACTGTTGAAGATCTCACAGTAAGGTTGAGAATCGAAGAGGATAATAAGGCTTCGGAAAAGAATCTGGAGTAAATTTTGTTGAAGAAGATTCCACAAAATTAAAGAAAAGAAAGAAAGCATTTGGTCCAAAAAGCAATCCTCCTAAGAAATTCAATGGAAACTGCTTTAATTGTGGTAAACATGGTCATAGGGCTAATGAATGCCGGGGTTCTAAGAAGGACAAGAAAAAGAAGGATCAAGCAAACTTGGCTGAATCCAAAGGAGAAATGGATGATCTCTGTGCAATGCTTTCTGAATGTAACTTGGTTGGAAATCCAAGAGAATGGTGGATAGATTCTGGTGCCTCATGCCATGTTTGTGCCAACAAAGAATTATTTTCATCATATACTCCAGCATTTACAGATGAAAAATTGTTTATGGCAAACTCCGCTGTTGCAAAGGTGGAAGGAACTGACAAAGTCCTATTAAAGATGACATCAGACAAGGTGGTGACTTTGAATAGGGTCTCATATGTTCCAGAATTGAGAAAGAATTTAGTTTCAATTCCAGTTCTGACCAAGAATGGATTTGAATGTGTATTTGTTTCTGATAAAGTAGTAGTAAGCAAAAATGATATGTATGTAGGAAAAGGCTTACCTTAGTGATTGTAATTGCAGTTGATATGAATAAAGATTTTGCTTCTTCTTACTTGCTTGAGTCTAAATGTTTATGGCATGAACGTTTGGGACACGTTAATAACAAAACCTTGAGAAAACTGATTAACTTAAATATTTTGCCAAAATTTGAGTGCAATAAATCATAATGTCAAATTTGTGTTGAATCTAAGTATGCTAAGCATTCTTATAAATCTGTTGAAAGGAATTCAAATTTTTTAGAATTGATTCACACTGATATTTGTGACATGAAGTCAACACCATCACGTGGTGGGAAAAAGTATTTCATAACTTTTATTGACGATTGCACTAGATATTGTTATGTCTATTTGCTAAATAGTAAGGATGAAGCAATAGATGCATTTAGGCAATATAAAACTGAAGTTGAAAATCAGTTAGATAAAAAGATCAAAATGATCAGAAGTGATAGAGGTGGAGAATATGAATCTCCATTTGCAGAAATATGTTTAGAAAATGGAATAATCCATCAAACTACTGCTCCCTACACTCCTCAGTCTAATGGAATTGCAGAAAGAAAAAATCGAACTTTAAAAGAAATGATGAATGCATTACTTATAAGTTCAGGTTTACCACAGAACTTGTGGGGGGAAGCTATCCTTACATCAAATCAGATACTTAATAGAGTGCCTCACTCAAAGACAAATGTAATTCCATATGAGAAATGGAAAGGTAGAAAACTCAATTTGAAATATTTCAAAGTGTGGGGGTGTCTAGCCAAAGTCCAAGTTCCTATACCTAAGAGGGTAAAAATAGAACCTAAGATTGTGGATTGTGTATTCATTGGATATGCCACAAACAGTAAGGCATGTCGTTTTTTGGTTCATAAGTCAGAACATCCGGATATTCATGATAATACGGTAATGGAATCAGATAGTGCTGAATTTTTTGAACATATCTATCCGTATAAAACTAGACTTGAGTCATCTAGTGGGGGATCTAAACAACCCAGAGAAGAACCAAAAGAGAATGAACAAAATGAAGAAAGTCCAAGACGCAGTAAACGTCAAAAGACATGTACTTCATTTGGATCAGATTTTGTAACATCTCTTCTTGAAAGTGAGCCTCAAACATTCAAGGAAGCACTCTTGGAAGGAGGCTGTTAATAGTGAAATTGAATCAATCTTAAGCAATCATACTTGGG